TTTCCAGCGAGCTCGAATCATCGAGAACGTCGAACCGCGCGACGAAGCCCTGGCCATGGAATCCGTCATCGATCAGGGACCGGCCGCGATAACAACGGGTGTCTCGAAATCGTTTGCTTACCGGTTGATCGAGAGTGCCGCATGTTCACGCGAACGTGTGCCCGGCGAGGCACGATGACGATTCCTGGTCCCCAGTGTCCATCGTAGATCTCGATGTCGCACGAGGAGGGCACCGATACCCGGCAATGTCCTCGGGAGGTCTCCGGCTCAAGGTCACGTCGTCGCCGGACGAGTTTACGAGTCACGAAACGCAACGTTCACGGGCGGGACGCCGGGCGTGGCGTTCGCCAAAAAATTCTATCGTGCACTGGGCACCGGCCGAAGGAGAACCGAGCCGATGCGGACCGAAGAAACGCGGTCGGTTCGCGGATCAGGAATATGATGCCACCTTGGTGAAAGCCTTCGCGAAGAAGAGGCTCCCTTGCCGCACCGAGTGCCGCTCCCGCTAAGCGGAAGATTATCTAAATAGACTCCGTGCTACCACAGAGCGAAGAGAGAGGGAGAACGGGACCGCGGGGAGAGAGAGGATCCCGAAACGAGGTGGTATTTATACGTCGTGTCTTTTGGAAAGCCAGTGGATGCCGAGACCAGGAACCATCCCTCTACGCGGCTGCTCGGGGAAGAGGACCGAATGCCTTCTTTAATGTTTATTGTCTTGGAAATTGACCTTCTTTTTGCTGCAACTCGGGATTAGCTACGATGATAAATTAAGAAGTTCGTTGATTTCGAAAGTGAAACTATATATTTTTCTAAATTGTTTTTTCAACTGAAACTAGGAATAGATTTGGAATATAATTTTGTATGGTCTGGTTTGGGGTAGTTTGGAATAATAAATTAGTTTCTTTTGGTTTAGACGGTGAAAGTATAGATTTATTTGAATACTTTCTTCAATTTCTGTAATGCTCAAGATGGACTTTAAATATAGTTTTATATAGTTTGATTGGGAAAACTTTGGAATTATAAATTAACGACGTTCTTAGTTTAGAGATAAAACTATAGATATTTTAAAATACTTTTTTCAGTACCTGCAGTGAAATGTATTCTGTAGTAAAAGATATGAAAGTTCGAATGTGTTGGTATCGGCAATGCGTAGGTAGATGGAACGGCAGTGCGACAGTTGTCATACAATAAATCCACCCTTTCAGTCGTTGTTCGTATTGACAATTGTTTCTCTGTTATTTGTGTTCTAAGCTTCATACTTGTATTTTTTCAGAATTTTCTATGTAGGCAACTTTATTTTATTTTAGTGAAGTATATATGGAGTAAGGTTATAGAAGTCCTTTGAAAGAAACAATCGGAAATTCACATGAGACTATTGCAAATATTTTGAAACTTTGTAAAAAATCATGTATTGAGTCATGTAGGAGGGAAACGCATGCGTATGCAGGAACAGTTACAAAGAAATCTTCAAGAGTAATTGGTATGCAATGGAAGCTGCTAAATGACAAGGCGCTGGGAGTCATTAAACCAATTGTTGGCACGATGGCTTAGCACATTCGCACAAAATGGCAATGAATCCTTGAACTCATTGATATGTATGTATCCGTTCTTCGAGACATTCCCATCGTGAAAAGAATCAGTTGGTATTACAATGTATTTGACAGCAACAATACTCAATTAAGAATCCATTTTAATATTGACATTAACGTAGAGAATGGATATCAGTTAGAATTTCTTAAGGCCTCAAGATATCAGAATAGGAAAAGTGTCATAAACACCTGATCATTTATCTTAATGTCAACAGCAAAACTTTAAACACATTTTTCTCGAAACATAACTTTTCGAGCTTGTCTTAAAAATTCCTAAAAATATTTAAAATACGAAGAACACATACTTCAAAATGTCATACTGGAATTCTGTATTGCTACTTTAAATCATGCAAGAGAGGTGAATATTTATTACTAACCATTGCTGCATGATTTATTGAAGTGTATCAATAATACATTCCGCGAAATATCCTATACCATGTGCGTATCGCTTAAGCCGCAGTGAATGAACGAGATTCAACGAGTATTGTTTTATAACTTAACCACGCGTTCTGGTCAATTGATACGTACTTTTGAAGAGATGCCTAACAAATTTATGCAAAGGCACATTCCGACAATTTTAAGCATGAACTACCATATAATTCCTTTTTATGAACCATATGAGTAACAAAAATAAAACGGAACAAATAAACGATCAATAATGCAAAGATCGTGGCTCAGCGTCTTAAATATACCCTACCATTAAACCTAACTATAAAATCTTAAGTTATTACCGAAGGTACTATATTATGACTTTTTTATTTGCCCTTGAACATAGCTGCAAGAATATTCCAGCTATAGGAAGAAAATTAGAATTATCGTATGAGTAAATAAATATAGCTTCGCGAGGCCATCCACATATACGCAATTCCTAGATCATTGGGGATTACGCCTGAAAAGAAATGATAAAGCCAGTGACGCGGGTCTTCGATAAATTGATTCTTCACGCACGACTAAACAGGATACCTTGCTAATGATTACCACGAAATAATTCACTATAGAAACAGATTTATATTACTATGTCCATTACTATAAAGAAGTTTTCCATGCCCATAAATAAGAAAGATTCATTCGACCCGTTCGCAATATTTTCGCGGGCTATAAATAAGCGTGCACGAACCACTCGGAGAATGAGAAAACTTACCTTCACGCTGATAATCGAATACAGTTAAACGATGCCGATAACGAAAATTGAATATTTATTTAAATATCTCCACACTTGTCTTGACGCAGCTGCTGAAACTAATTGTTTCGCCAGTCATGCGGAATTCCTCCATTAATGGCGTAATGGTGACCATCATTGTGGATTAAAAAATGTGAATGCCAAGAAATTTATGAACGACAACTGATAATATGATTTGGACTCACAAGACAAAGGAATATATACATAGAGAAATTCAATTTTCTCTAAAGTTTGGCGAAAATTTAATTAATAAAATAATAATAAAATAATAATATAAAATAATCTTACGGAAATAATATTATAATGGCATAGATAAAATATCTTTCCTTTACAAGATAAGTATTTCCAAGATAAATTTAATAGAAACTGTCTTAATTTCAATCTTAACATATCGCACATATAATATTTCCATTCGTATCAATGGTAATTCGATTATCAAGGTATTCAGGTAATATCTAGCAACTACTCCATTTACGTTCACATCGTTCTACAAAAACATCGAAAACTAATAATGTACTTAAACTAAAATCCATTCGTCGAATATGAATGTAACACTCTCTTTCCCTACCGTTCCTCTTTACCAAAAATGTGCACCATCATTTTTACATTTCGATCAAAATCAACTAATCCAGACTCATATTAAAACAGAAAACAAACAAAGACACCCGTAATAAAAGATTAAAAACATTACATTTCTACAAGCTCCATGCAAGTCGAAAAAAAAGTGCACGTCGTCGAACTTCTGCCCACGAAAATTGCGCACAGAACGGAGCGGTTCGTGCGCCAGCCACTTTCTCGTCCCCCGTTCCACGCGTTCTTTTATCATCGCGGGGATCAAGATTCGTCCTCGATTTTCGCGCGATTTATATCCCCCCGGTGGAGACCTTCTATGAAACGGGAATCAAAAAACATCGGCACCCGTTACGGTTCGTCGTTTCGGTGCGGCCCGTAATGGGCCACGGCTAGAAAAGGCCCGAGAAACATCGCCGCGGCTCGGTGCGAGGCTGCACGGGATTTCTTAGCACAATGCCGATTTCTTTCCTCCCCGGCGACGAGCAGCGAAGAGCAGCCGGGCTTCCGGCATTGCCGAGATTACCGGCGAACTTCAACTTTCACCGATCGATAAAAAATCAAGATCTTTTCCGTTCAAACAACGGCCTCGAGCTATACGGGACGATCGGAACATTATATTCATAAATAGCGGACCAACATGGTCCATTGTACTTTCTCATACGGTTATCGAAGCTGCACTCGTTCGCCAGACGGATACGGATCGTGATTATGGTACACTTTACCGGAGTACGACTTAGCAGGTGGAATAGCTTTTTTTACATCGGCGGACTATTCGCAGTGATCCCGAGCACGGGACGTATCAGAGTCTGAAATGGGCTTGGTCTCATTCGAATTGCCAATGGAAAAAGGATACTGTACCCGAGTGTTTCGATCCGACGTTTTCACGATTATTCCGTTTAGTTGAGATACCTGTCCAGTCATTCGTAGTGAACTAATAGTTTACTCTGTAATTGCAATTTTGATGTTTGACGGGTTCTGTTGTGGTTTTCTTAAATCTGCGACAGTTGTTTAGTGTTTTATGATAATCTTTGGGAACTTAATATTTTATGATGATAAATAAGTATTGCGATTGTTAATTAAATTTACGGTACTAAAGTATCTAAGATTTAAGGTGTATTGGAGCACACTATATTTTTTATTGTTATCTGATATTTTATTTTTATGTTAAGTTTTAAAGGGGCGATATTTTTAAGAAAGATGTTCTTTCCGATTTTGGAGTCTTAGCGATGGAATTATTGTTCCGTACTTTGATTGCTCTATGTCTACCTTGAACTATCTTAGGGTAAACATCAAACAGTTCTCTTAAAACGTAAAAATAAAATGTCTGTAGATCCACTCGTATTTGTGTAAAGTCCTGTAGTTTACGTTGATATGAAAACGGCAGAAGTTAAAAACCGTCGACGTATATATTCGGTAAATACGTTCGTTACGACTACCGTTGTAATAATTAAATATAAAGGATTCTACTGTACAACTTCTGTATTCCATACTTTCTGTCAACGTAAATACAGGTGCGGTGAAATCCTTGGAGAATAAATATTGGAATAAAAATGTTATTCGATGCGAAAGCAAACAATGCGAGTCAATAGTGGACGTGGAGATAAAAAATTAAAAGGCTCCCCGTGTGTATTAAAGAATGCCGTACAATAAGTACTCACTCCTGCGAGGGTTTGAAAACGCTTCCATCGATGTCATCTACATAATCCCAGACAAGAAAATATTCCCGTTGAACGGACGTGCGGGTATCCATAACAAGAACTTTGTTAAATCAATGGTATTTTGTTCACAGGAGAATGATTACCGACAGTTTAGCGAAACACGAGCCGCAAGACACAACGCCGTCACGTCGCGCATCGAAACGGAAATTTTTCTTATTCTCTCCGCGGCCGCATCGCGTGTCGTACCGAAACGATCGTTGACTCGATGCCGTTCAATCGCGTACATTACTCGACACCGAGCCACCACAGTTAACGATAATGAACGTTCTTCAAATCTAGATGATCCACTTCTATCTGCCTGTTCCTTTTCGATTTCGATTCGATCCTCTTTCTCGAAATGATCATGGAATTCATTAGCAGGCTCGAAAAGGGAAAATGAAAGGAGGAAAAAAAGAGAAAAGAAAAGGAAAAGGTAATATGATTCTATCCTACACCGACGGAGAGATTAATCAAAAATCTTTGCTCGCCAAGATTAGAGAATTCGCTTATCGCTTATTCATGTCTGCCGTGTAGTGTTATCGGAAGAAAAATAATATTATCGTGATACACAGCAAAATTCATCGATTGCTTTGTTCCGCGGACGTTAGAAAATTAAAGAACCTTGTCATCCCAGCGTTTGGACCGCTTCTATCGGCGGTCTTAAAGTCGATGTGACTAGATTGGTAAATAACGGGTCCGCTTTTGCATCGGGAGATCACGTATCAACCAGTGGTATTCCTCAGGATCCTCCGGCAGCGCCGGATCACTTTTCTCCGATCTTAATTAATCACGAATGCATTCGGAATTAAACCGCGCGGAATGCGACGGCACGACGACGGGGCGACGACGACACAGGAGCACTTTCACTTGAAAACTTTTTTGCGGCGCGCGATCAATTTTCGTGCCTTAATTGATCTGCGAGGAATCACTCGAGGCGTTGATAGCGCGTGGAACGAAGCATCGCCCGGCGACGTTCCGCCGTGGAATATAAATATTTTCCTTTTCGTCGGGTCCGCGCACTGTTTCTTTTTATCTGAATCGGCGGTGCGCGCGGCGTATCGCTTTATCAGTTCACGGAGAAATGACACCGCGAACGTTCCGATTCGCTCGGCGAACCCTCGGGTGCCCGCGACGGAAACATTAATCTCGCCGCGGTCGTACGCGGAATTGCGTTCCGTGTAACAGTAGCGGCGTTAAAGACGCTAATACGAGCCGCTCGGGCCCAGTCCCCACGTCGAGAGAACTCGGCCGTCCCTTTCGTTCCCCGGGGAACGATTAATTGATTAATTACGCGCGCGCGAGAGCGCGGAGTATCGTATCGCCGTTGATCAACGCGAAATCTTTGCTTTCTCCTCTCAGCATTCGAGCTTTCCTACGGCGAGGAACGTTCGCGCCGCGATACCCGCACGGTCGATCGTCGTCCGCTTGAGCCACTCCGCGCGTCCACGCCAGGCGAACGAAACTTTTGACAGATGTTCGCGAACCTCGACGCGCTTCAGACCGTTTCCGTGCGCACGGGAACCAGCACAAGGTTAACGAAGCCACTGAGTCACGGAACGTGTCAACACACCAACGGAAACCACCCGGCTGAAATTCACTGTCGCGCGATCCACCAGCGGAGCCCCGTAAATCCTGTTCTCGATCATCTGTACAAGGGGGACCCGCGTGCGTATCTCCACAGCTTCGCGTGGACCGCCCGATCCGGTGTTTGTCCCGGTCCCCGAACGATCGGGGCTCGATCGTCGTCGTCGTCGTCCGCGACGGGCCTCACCAGGACTCGTTCAACAGCGCGCGATCGCCCGGATGGATCGTAGGCACGCGCGCGCACGAGAAAATGCAGGCAGCATCGGCGGCCAACAAGTGCGCTCTACGGATCCAGACGTTGGGACCGCTCGGCGACGCTCAACCGTTCTGGTGTAATCGAGGCGGTACACACGACCGATGCGGTTTCATGGTAGAGCGAGAGAAAGAGAGAGAAAGAGAATAAAAAGAGAGAGACAGATGTAGAAAGAGAGAGAGAGAGAGAGACAGAGAGAGAGGAGGGAGGAGAGAGAAGGGGGTTACATCAGATCACCGAGACACGCCGCTGGTTTCCACGGTGAGATGACACACACCGATCGAGAACGGATATCTGGTGTAACGTTCGTGCGTTTGGGCCGTACGCGTGGACGCCGACGACGACGAGTTCGAGACCAACGAATGGCCGTCCGGATCCAGCTGGGCACCACGAAGCTGGCCCGATTCGACGCGAGAGACCATGGCGTATGCGCGCGAGCCAAGCCGGACCCGACGGACGGCACGAACCGGCGCGAAGGAAACCTTCGACGTCGCGAGAGAGCGTGTGCAACAGAGAACCCGAACCGGGGCCCAATCTCACTAGAGGGGACCTCTATAGCGCCTTTCTCTTAACTCCCGCGACCGCTGGCTACACGTACAACTGCCGACCGAGAATTCCTCGGCTCGCTGGTACGTTGTACGAACGCTTTTCGTTCGTGTCCGCTGCCAAATGGTTTTCTTTTAACACATTGGGAAGAGTTTACTTTGGAGTCTAGGGCTTTGTGGAATAAGAATTAATTTTGGAAACAAACGGAGTCGGATTCGCGGGACATCGTGAGAATACAGCGGTTTCGATTAGTGAGTAATGATACGTATTGTTTATTCTTGGTCGACTGGTTCGTTGGAATTTTGACTTGACGATTTTGGTTTGGCGGGAATGAGTGGTTTAAATGTTGATTGTATGTGTAAACTGCTATGCGATTCTTTTGGTATTTGTAATGTTGATTGTAAGTTTCTTTTTGCTCTTATTGAGATTAATGTATTGAGGTAAATTTTCGTAGTGTTAAGTATAAGAGAAGTCAGAGGAGAAGAAATTGGGAGTCGTCGGCATGAAAGGTTGTTTCCGCTATATCACGTTTCTGATAACTCTGATAGCTTGATCATAAGTAAACACAGAAAGATAGAATAATTATCTTTGAATTCTGTAATCGTATTTTTGAGAAATATTATATTCTTGAATAAAACGAAAAGAAGAGAAATTTGCTCCACGTTTGTCTTATCATTTATTGTGGAATTGCAAATTCATTCAATTCCAAAATTAATGCGGTCCCCTGTGTGTTCTGTTTTAAATTAACTGTATGATATCGCACAGCGTTTTGCTCGTGTAGATTCAACATGAAATGTGATGTTGTTCGAACAACTTTTTGCGAACCGATTCCTTTCCCGCAACGTGCGTTGCGTTAACCCGCCTGAAAAGCGAAATGCCTACGGACAAGTTTAATTACACTTCACTGATTTATTCCACGCATCTTAAAATTTATAGCCGACGACGTGAGCGACATTTCATCCGAAAGTTTTTCTTGCGACTGGCGCATGGACGATGTTTGTTTAACAAGCTTCACTACAAATCTTTAATTACATCGTGACTCATATAGAGGAAACATTTTGTGGAACAATTTCAAATATTGCTGTCAGAATTAACTGTATTTGTGAGATTCGTTCTTTAATTACACTGATATATCTCCATAACTATGATATATCTCCGTATTACTAATGATTACCTCTTTGTAGGTATACCTTACTGATATTTCATGATTTTTTTAGTTTTCCATAAGCTTTATTACTAATATTGTTTCCTCATTAATTAACATAATCGTTTCATTCTGTTATCTTCACTTAAGAGGACATTCGACATTTACTTTTCAGTGAAAAACTTCATTCCAACTTTCGAAGCACTATTGAAACTATTATTTCTGTATTCCATAACCGTTGATAATTTAATCAAATAATTTTCAGAATAGAAGAAAATCGCTTAATCTTATTCATACGTTCAAATCGCCATATTTCAAGCTTACTATTTATTACAGCAAGGTAATGCACATTGACTTATTGCGGCTATATTTTTTTCTTTTTATGATAGTACAGGCGAAGTCATGTACCGGCTATTCAATGAAAACCTATTGGTGTAGCCTTTACTAACTATATAACGGCAACGCCACGAGTCTTACACCATTCACGAGGTCGATATATGCTTTCAAGAATGAAAACTGCTGCTTCCAACCGACACCTAAATTGAGATCCAGTTTAAGGTTAATTCACACTTACCTAACGTGAAATCTACCACACACACTATCATAGTATGCACCACTAATATTATTCTACTTTTAATACACTTCACAAAAAAATCACTCAATCCACTAAATCTTAAAATATTTTATACATTCACTCATTATTATCTCACAACTAACAACAGTACACCAATACCTATACATATTCCTTGTAAAGATATCAACAAAAGTCATAGCTATATTTTAACTTTACATAATCAAGCAAATGGCTGTAAGTAATAGGTAATGTTTGAAAAAATATATATCGCTTAATTTAATCATAATCTGTCCAAGTGTGGACTACGCCTTACAGTCTCGCCCTCTAGAACTGCCAACATGGTGGCAGACTATCTTAGAAAAGGATAGAGAGGAACAGTGTAATGGAGCAAGACAGAGGATTTTGATGGTCCGAGGTATTGAGAGGAGTTCCACGCATTCATACTCACATATTTATAGCTTTTGGACTAGCCGGCTTTGCGGGACTACGAAACGCATCTGCTGCTCTAAGATTGGCGCGTTACTACAGAAGGTATCCGTGCTTCCTTACTGTATTCTGTGTGGCAACGTAGCGTTCGCCTCCTCTCAAGAGAGTAACCACGGGTGTAATATCCTTTTTATACCAGATATTCCCATAGAGTACCTTTCATATTAGGTATTTTTGCAGTAATCAGGTATAAATTTCTCTTGTTCCATCATGAAATCCTTAGAACATGTGCACGAAGAAATTACTACTCCCACATTGTTCTACTGAGTACTTGATTATCCGAAACACTTCATAAAATGATTACATCGCTTGAATAAACTTGTCAATTCACACTGCAAAATGCTCATTTCACAATTAAGTGTAAAAATAATTTGTAGAATTAAAAATTCCAATTTCTGATATTCGGAAAGATTAATAAATAAAAGCGCTTTATTTTCGAAACATATTCCTCCGGCCTTACAAAGTTCGGTCGGGGGTGGATACAACATAGTGCCTTTATGGCGGAAGCAATATTTCATAATATATCATATATATATGTATTAACATAGTTAGACGTTCGTCTGTGGCTACTTTTAAATTAAATTCATTAATTTCATTTCCAATATCCTTGTATCATCCCGGATATTATAATATATTTTACTTGAAATACGCCATTATATTTGGTATTCCCTAATATAGAAATATAATAAAGGAGGTAATTTAAATGTATTACACAATCGCGTTACCGTTACACTGTTTCCTTCGTCGAACTATTACACAAATGTATTCTATTGAGTCCGTATTACGCAGTCCAAACATTCCCACGACGAAAACAGTGAGTACATTATGGTGATACCCAATAATTTTATTGTCTCGAAGAATGATCCATCCATTACGAAGTGCGCTATTGTGTTCGATGACTATAGGAATTTAAAACCATCGAATAGATTACACAGCGTTCCGCTGAATTGTATAGCGGACTCCTGGTATTCCAATAGTAAGTTTCTAGAATAAAATGCAGCCAGCGTTCGGAACAAATGCGTTGTTTCCAATTAGATCGCTTAGAAAGATGATTTTTTCGCTTCCAATTAAAGATTATAGCGTCTTCTGTGTGGGTTTAGAAAGTTAACGAATTCTTCTATCTGCATAGTTATCGCGTTTATAACTTCATTGTTTCACGAGCTCTGAAACCGTAAGTATCGGCGTGTATGCAATTAGATCAGAGATCCCTATCCTTATATTCCAGCTAACTTTACGCGGCTTAACATTCAACGCATTCAACGGGAGTAGTTTTTTCCCTTCCATGACTGCATTATCAGTCGCAGATCTTATCTGGTTTCAGGCGGTTTATTTTCTTTTGCGGTACCAAAATGGCTGCTCGCCGCGGAAACCGCAAGCAGGTAATTCGAAACCATTGAACTACATTTTCTACGGGTTAATCACCGACAATGCTCGGCTCTCGCTAATACGCGTATATTACCTGCAATATTTTTAGGCCCGCCTTGTCAAGGTACGCTTTTTTAAATTGCCATATTCTTCCGTCATTATCCGCCGTCATCGATGGTTGGGTAATACGCAAGATGTAATATTTTTTAGAAATTCTTCTTTACGTTTATAGCAACAATCGAGTCTTAAGTTATGAATTTAAAAATGTGTACATTTTCTTTAGTTAATTTGTAAATAAAATTACCAGAAATACTTCCTTTTGATTATTCGAGGTGTAAGCAGTTTTGATAACGTTAAAATTGAATTTATTTCATGCTGGATTTTTGTATGATCAATGTGTCATCTATATGGAACGTCGTCATCTAATAGATAGAATGATTTAAGAAATAATAAATCCAGAAAGATCCGCACATCTGCTGTTTGAAACAGGCGGCATCGTGACCCGCTTACAAAGTGGAGGGGATCTGGACGCCGACTCGGCGCCATTATCAGTAGACTTACTGACGCGTGTATAGCACTACTTGTTAGACGAGAGGTATTTTCTAAACAGTTGAAAGGTTCCAATCTCGGTGAGCGTGGTCCAAAGATATTGTAAAACGGAATTCACTTTGAATCGACTTTTTCTAACAGTCGTAAGTAATCTATCTGTACAAAATTAAATCATAAAATGCTTCGTGACTTACGCAGCAGATCAAATAATCCATTGATTTACAATACATCTCTTGTTTAAAATGTCTTTGTACCATGTTGAAGATCATTCAAGCGATTATATGAACTGATCAGTTCAACAAACTTATATCACTTAATACTTAGTTTCTAGATGAAACTGCTTCTCACTTACTTCTGAATAAGTTCTTTTTCTTGTAATTCCAGTGTTCTTCTTAGTTAGTTTTAATACTTTTAAAGGTGAATATTTGAAAGAACGGAAATTCGAATTTAATGTAACTTGAACTTTATAAGTTTAAATTGATTCACGGATATTAATTTCGAATTTCTCGTCTACGGTAACTTCTGGTATTCTAGTTTATTATGTGCTTACAGTTGGTAGACCTGTTGCATGTCGACGCCCAAGTATTTAATTCACTATACAATAACAAGTGGGTGTTGTATATCAGTTGGAAAATCCTCATTTATTAATGACTAATGGGAAGCATGTAAATTTGTTTCAGCTTAAAAATGGCTGTTTTGGAGTCCTGTTGGTCACCTTTTATCTGGACAAATAGTGTCAAATCAGGATGCAAAGCCATTGCATTTTATACAATTGTATGTACTCTCACATTAATTTTATTTTCTGTATATTATATTATACACTTTCATAGAATAAATTAATTTTCTATTATTTTGTTCACTGCTTCTCAATATATTTTTTTTTCTCAGGCAATTAGTATAATACTGATTACTTTAGTTTCTTACCAATTGACTGGAGGAGATTCATCTCAACTATATAATCCTTTATTTGAAGCTGATGTCAGAGGATGTAAGTTGTAACATATATTAATCATAACATGCACTATATGTATCATTTTTTAGCTATGCAAGTTGTTGGAGGCTTTTTCATTTTTTATTTCCTTATGCTTATTATATCTGCACTATTAATGGTGTATGGCATAAGAGAAAGAATACGAGGGTGGTTGCTTCCATGGCTTATATTCTGGTTCATTGCGTGTCTCTTCCAATTAGTGTTTGGACTTTGGCTTGTAGGAGGATATTATATATATGTAAGTTATTCTGTATTTCATAAATACTTCTTAAGAATCTATGAAGTTATGCATAAAAATTGTTTTTATAGCTTGAGGCAACATTTGCAGCCATGTGTGACTGGCTTTGGATGTCGTATAATGTAAGTGTATAATAATCTTTTAACATTTTTTTCTGTTTTATCACGTAGTTACAATCTCTCCTTATATCTTCATTTTGCTTACAGATATACTGTTGGTTGGTTGTTCTGTCCATGTATAAAATATTTGAGAAACTCCAATCTCCAAATATTGAGCTTCTATGGCCCTAAGTACTCGCTTAACAACTTACGAGACATAGGGTACATTGATTGGCACCAAAGTAAGATACAATGTTTTTAGAGATGAATTTATCAGATTTTATTTTGTTTACTTTTATAAAAAATAGACACATAAACATCATTATTTACAATAACATAAATCAAACAAAAAACATAATTATTTGCCATGTTTAACGTTTATTATTATTTATTTCAACATATAGAATACTATTGATATTATTAACACATAAGTACCATACTTAAGTGTCATTAATGTACAATTAATCCCAAGTCATGAAAGTCTGGGACTTTTATATTATAACAGAAGACTGATAATGGTCTAAGAAAATATCCGTCCAAATTTCAAAGATCTATATACTTCTCCTGATAAGCATATGCAACAGAATTTTGTAGTTGGTTGCTTTACACAACCAAAAATGCATGTACGTCTAATAAATTTTTGTAAGAAATGTAACTATTTCAGTATTCAATAATATTTTTAGGATATTTTTAATAATTAAAATACATAACAAAGGTTAGTACAATTTATGCTTAAATTTAATATATTTTACTGACTCGACAAAAAATAATATTATGTAAGTGCAAGTATCGGAAATCTGAATGAGATTAGTCGATATGTAAAATAATGAGAAAGAAGGTTATAATATATTGTAAAATGAAAAACAATAAAGTACCACGTAAGAATAATTAACAAGATTAAAAATTCTATAATCCCACTTTACAAAATGATGCTTACAGTAATATAAAATTTCACGGTATCTCTAATTCATTTTGAAATGATACAAGAGTTTATATTTTACCCGATTAACGTCATAAAAGAATACGTTACCAAATGATTCGTGATGAATACAAGCCCCGATGAGGAGTAAAAGTAGACCTAATATTCAATGTATTTTCATGATTCAATTTTCTGGATACCATTACCATTTTCGCGGATCTTAAGTCTGGATAGTAGTGTAACCCAGCTTAACTTCATTACCCCATTTGTTGGAACGAATGTAACACAGACTTAAGATATGTAATACCACGTGGTATAGGTCACACGTATATGCAGTATACTATATTTCATATTTTCAGAAGGACAGTATAACAGAATGAAAGATGATCAATTTTATATGTATTTATATTATGTATGCAAAATAATTTACTAACTCCCTTTGTTTTCTTTTCATTCGCGTATTTATTTAATACACATTAACGGGCACGGTTTGAATACATACGCAACACATATGACGTGTCTGTGCATTTAAGTATAGGTGGCATAGAAATTTTTAACATACATGAACATATTATGTTTGATACATAAATTATATGGTTATAAAAGAATTTTCTATAGAAAAATGTAGTAAGTAGATAAAATGAACTAAATAATCCAAGATTGCATCGTATTTACTGATTCTTATTTTTTTCATTTGAATATATATGAATTATGTTAATGTAAAATCAAGTAACGTTTATTTATAAATAAGTGAACAGATATATGCATACGTAATTATTTAATGGAATAATTATTCATACGTTAATTGTGGTTACGATCAAGTATTTTGAAAAAATTCAAATTCGCACCGTTAAAAAACAATCCTAAGAGACATGCTGACTGAAAAAGCGAATCGTTTGAACAGTTTCGTTACCAGCCTCGATGAATTTCGTGCAAACCTAACTCCTCAGACTCCACAGTAACGTAATTTTTCAAGTCGGCAACACTGCAAAAATTGGCTTCCCAGGCATACACTTTATATGTTGCAATCTTATATAGTTCAGTAGTTGACCGTTGGATTTAGATAGAGTCCGCTAATGCATCGGGGCATTTTTGACTCTGTCGGTATTTCAGAACTGTGGCATATCGATCACCACTCACCACGTGCTTTTGCGCGAAAGCATCCCTTAATCGTGTTCGCGAGTTCCGTATTGTATCAATCAGTGCGGTTGTTCGATTTCTTTTTTATTCTCGTGCGTCCGTAATTACACGTCGTAGTGTGTTATAAAATATTGAGCATGGCTTTACGATATTTCACAAGTATCCCTATTTATGTTGTAGAAAGACACGACGATGTATTACCGTTTATTTATCGCTGCCTGAGTTCTAAGTATCTTCCCTTCGAAGGGAATACATTTATACACTTGAGCTCCCACCCTGATATGGTCCTTCCGAAGGAAATGCCTGCAGATACCGTGTGGGAAAAGGAAGAACTATACAAAAAAGTTAGTTTAGAGAGCTGGATACTGCCGTCCGTGTATGCTGGTCATCTCAAGCACCTGATCTGGGTCAAACCACCGTGGTCAACTCAATTGCCCGAAGGCGTCATTAGCTTTGTGATCGGCAAACATAAGGAAACCGGGAAAATAAGAATGACCTGTACCGAACCCTACTTCGTCAGCGAAGGCCAATATGGCCCAGTGGACGAGCTAGAGAATACGCGCGAAATAACCCTACATGTCATGACTATTGGCAACTTTATCGAAGAACCGGGCAAGAGCGATGATTTCGCGACTGTCGGCGCCGTCATACGCCAATACCTACCGGAACGGGATATTCCGTACATCTTAGATATTGATTTGGACTTCTTCAGCGCACAAAACCCTTATATCTCACTTCACCATGAAGTAAACTTGTATGAGAAGATTGCTCAATTGTATTCGTTTGAAAGACCTGAATCAACGGATCCTATGGTTCTGAAAGAGGCGTCTGCCGCGCGAGACGATCAACTTGACGAATTAGAAGACCTCTTCCGCTATTTGGACGAGCACCGGAGTTTGAAGGGTTACGATGGCGAAAAGACGACGCGATATGAAGCGGTGGAGAATCTTTATCTCCAGTTGATGACTGCGTATAAGCAGTCGGAGATTAACTGGATTACCATTCACAGCGCAGGTTTAACTAGAGACGATACCGATCTCCCGCATCACCCGACTTCTCGTACTGATCTTGACCGGTTAATTACCGGTACATTCAGATCATTTTTAGCTTGTCTATCTAGCCCGCCAACAATTGTAACCGTTGCAAGATCCAGTGATGATAACTATTGCCCATCGGCAGATGTAGACACGATTCAAGAAGGTGTAATTGAAGAGCTTCGCCAACGTCTTGGTGACATAGACGTTCATCTGACTTATACTTCATCGGAAACACATTAATTCCGAATAAAAACACGATCAATATTTCACTCTCTTTTTTAAAATGAAATATATAGAACAAGAGTATCTAACTGAGTGGCCGCGGACACTCTAGTGACACACCCTTCACAAAAAGTTACCCTCTCCGTTCCTACTATTACCAGTTTGTATTGAACACTTTACAGAACTGCTCATATACACAATCTCGGGCATATGTAGGTTTCCTTTAGATAGAAATAATGTTTGTGAGAAGAATTTTTGGTGATCCTAAGCTTAAGATGCAAAATTTTGGGAAAAGGTATTTTACCATTTCAGTGTTACTCCCTGTAATTTTTAAAATTTTTATGCCCTGATTGGATTAATATTCTACCGACAGCTTTATTTTACATAGGGAAAATATTGGCGTGAAGGACTTTTGGAAATTCTAAAGTTAAGACACAAAATTTTGCAAAAACGCGTTTCGGCGAAGTGGTGTCAGTTCCTACGTTACCGTTACAGTATAGGACAAGCACCGCTACACGATGCGCGTTAGAACAGTTATTTTTGAAAATGCCTGAGAAGATTATAGTGGAAGTCGCAGGTAAGAGAATGAGGTGCTTTAAATTAGTACATCGTCATTTCTCGCAAGACATTTAACTATCAATATTAATGACCCATTGTTAACCGGTGACTGGTAATTACCGGCTAGTCGGAGACCTTGGACCATACACAGACATCTATCATATTATATTCTGTAAATTTATTATTGCCAATCAAGCATTTATTATTGCCAAGTTGTATAAAACACTCGTAGCAGAAATGAAGTACATAGTTCATTTGATTTCTACTAACAAGCCTAAATTGTTGTATTATCGATAACATCGAACGTGACATTGAAATGGTACGGGGGTCTAGAGACCCCCGAAGCCCTAAATAAGAGTTCCCATAAGCTTCTACGTTCCTTCGTATCCTAAGTCTGTGCATATAGTGTATAACTTGAAACGACTCATCATAGATGGCGTAAAGATGTACTTGGCAGAAATATTATTATACATCACTTGTGTAATTTTATTCAAAACATTTTGAAGCTATAGTTATTTATATTTCACTTATTGATATTAACTTCCATTAATTATTTATTTCAAGTAAACTGTACAATATAATAAAAGTTATGAAATCTTATTTTATTCATTACATTATGAATAATAGTGCAAACATATTTTGAAGAAGCAATTTGAAAAAACAGGAATTACATTAAAATGTATTGTTATGTGTTTCATAAGTATGAATTTAAAATAAAAGTTTTATTCTATAATGTTTTTTGTATTGATAAGTAACAGAAATGCATAACATTTGCAGTATGCTACCATTACACCCTTTGCATACCAATAACAAAGACTTTTATTGATTATTAAAAATCTCAAGATTTAATTATAGAAATCGGAAGGAAATAGAAGACGAAATGGTATTTGTTTTATAAGTAACTTGCATTCCGACTAAAAGTTTTCAATAAGTATGTATGTATGCATGATATAATGGTAGACTTTTAATAGTTTCATACATACATTACAATAGAAGGAATTAAAGTAAACATATTTCTGTTGCTTGAAACATGAAACATATTTTACAAAGTATATCTCGTAACTGAAAACAATATCTACATTATTTTCATTAGAAGAGGAATAAATGTAAAGAGGTGTTCAATTAACGGATGTAAAACGATACGTTCTAACTTCATACCGTACAGTGACAAGGTCAGGCACAAATTTTTGCTGAATTGTAATTCTCCGATCGTAGATGCGGTGTTAGTTGAAGAAACTGGACGCTTTCTAAGTCTCTCTCTAGTTGTACTGTTCCTGATACGGTGATTAATGACGACTCGAGAAATCCTCCCTCGTGGACCACCGTGTTCGCGTCTGTCGAAGTCGATATTAATGGACCGGTACTAGTGAAATGTTTCGTATCTTGCATGTAATTAGCAACTCCAGCTGTCTTCGGGAGAGAGTTTGTGCACTTGACAAATTTTCACGATGCGACGCTCCCCGCCCATGGAAATAATGATAATGATCGGTAACGGTGACGTAAAACATTTCGAGAAAGTTCTATTTATTGTCGTTTTTTAATAATGTCACTCGATGAAATTGGATTATCCTACTAGTAAAATTATTCTTCGAGTTTATTTTTTTCATTTGTGTTAGAATTTTACTTGTTTAGAGTAAAAAAGTACAAACGTTTGGGGTTTGTTGAAATGAATACTTCGATGTTCTGCTATTCGAATTATTTGCAATTGACGCAAGGAAAGTGAAGTAACTGCTTTGCATAAATTTCATACAAATTTTTAATATTCGTATACCAAGTATGATTAACTGAGCATAAATACTGCCGTTTGAGAGCAAAGCGGCGAATGCCAACAAGGTATGGTACAAATGTAATTTACAGCCGGAGATATTTTTTCGACGCGGCTTTCGACTGTCGACAATGGTTTCGTAAAAGATGGTAGGCATAATAACGTACAGTCTTTATTGTCACGACGATACTTTCACTTCCCGGCCAGCCACACCCCGACCAATCGATCCCCGATGATCATACAAGTATCTATGAACATTCGTACAATATTAATTTGTATTTATGACGCTACAATAGCTAGTCGATTAACGAAGAAAATGTTAACCATAAATCGAGGTTGTTAGTTTCGGCGTGACCTATGTTTACGAAATATTTCACGAGGAAACTAAATATGAAGAATCTCTTTCGTAATTGAGTCAAAATCCGAGTTTAAAATGTTATTCAAAATTCTTAATGAAAAATTACATCGACATTTCTTCACTTTTATGGAATTTTTTTCTCATTTTCTCTCTCTACTTTTTGAAGGGTTCCACTTCAGAATCATCAAAAGTAACTCTTTTCAACAATTATAAATAATTTCTTTATAAGAAGAAAGACGTGATAGATAATTTAACAGGAATTCTATGAAAAACATTTTAAGTCACACAAATATATGCAATGATAATAATTTTATACTAATTTCGTAAACAGAATCTAATCGTTAAAAATGAAGGGTAATAAATAAAACAATGAAACATAGAAAAATGTTCATTACGCAAAGCACCTAACTTCGACAACCCTCTTTTTATACGCCATATGCAATTGCGCGTGTTAATCGATGTACGCATGTGCGCACGCGCCAATTAAAATACACATACTTTAACATTAGCTTTACGGACGTTTATTGTACGGTTTATTTTATTGCTCCTAGAAAAATGGATGTTCGTTAAAATCTTAGAAATTAGGGATTTCAAAATCGACTATTACGATGCAGAATCGCGTAATTGCATGAATCAAAGCCGATATAAACATTTACCAAATAATGTTTATACAATTCGATGTGCGTCCAATTGACGCGTTCCGTAAAGCTAATGCTGATTTCATGCACATTTCAGTGTCCAGGTATCAGAAATAGCTGCCTCTATTAAAAAGCGAAAGGACCTGAGGGTATTCACTGGCAAGCATCTGAAATGTCTTCGGGCCGAGAGTGTAAGTAGGTGCTCGGAAGATTTCACCCTTGTCTCGGGCAATTATAATCGCCGCGACCGATCGGTGATCGGCGCGAACGAACGCGGCTGAGCACGCGCGCGCGCGCCGTTCGCCCGTGGCTCGAGGTTCGCCTCGGCCGTTTCACGACTCGTTGTCCACCGCTCGTTAAGCCGGTTTCGCGATTTACGATTCCGCCGTGCGAACCGCGAATAATCAAGGGGAAAAGGACGGGAGAGGGAAAAGCCCACGGTGGCGGGACGTAAGCGCGAGGTAAAAGGAACGGAATCGCTCATAATGACTGCGAAGTACCTCGAGGTGGATCCGCTGCGAGCATTATGCTTTCATAAAAGATCACGGAGCAAGTCGCGCGTAGATGGAAGGAGCCGAGTCGCATTGAGTTTATGTCGTACGCACATAACACGAGAAACGCGTCGTTGCGTGGTGTCGCGCGCATCGTGATCAGTGTTGCATTAACTAGCCGGCATACGTGCCCACGGGTTTTAAACCGTGCCGGGGAAAAATTTTGGCGCTCCCCGGCGAGCAGAGATATTATTAGTTATTAACGGATGCATCGTAAAACTGATTCAACTTTGCAACGTTCAGCCTGGATAGACCGTGGATTTGATACATTTTGTTCATTTTGATAGAAATTAACTTTTCGTGTCTCTTTTTGCTTGTCACAGTTTTTTCATTGTTTCGCTGTATTCGATTATTAGCTGGGAAAACTTTTATGGTGCGCGCGGTCAAATGCATAAAATGAATTACCATATGTAAGTACGTGTTCCGCGCTTTTTAGACTGAGGTAGGATATAGCTGGAACGTCCACCGTTCCAGCAATAACTGAAACAATAATTAACTCTGTCGCGTCTCGTTACGCGTGTCGCGGCCAGTGGACAGCGAATGTTTAAGTCTTGAAAGCTTATCTGACACCTCGAATCTGCGGACAGTGGAGTTACGAAACGAGCGAGTGTCATCGTTAGAAGCCGCGTCGTTCCCTTTGCCCGGCACCGGACTGGTTCAAAGTTTCATGCTCGAACGATCTTATATAACGACTTTTACAACGATACGCATAAGTACCTGTTGCTGTTTGCCGCCGCAGCTGCCGCTTCTTTATTTCATATTGATTCTGTTTTAACGATACAGGCGAACCGATATTTACCGCAATTTAAGGCGCGTGTTAGATCCCCTGCTTCACTAATTGAACGATCTCTCTGGCCAGCGAAACACCGTTTTGATTACGCTTATCTGAAATCAGGGAGACTTGGGTGAACGGAAACTTTTTACGTATTGCATTTCAATTTCCATCGACCTTTTCTCTATTCCTGCGCGAAACTGACACGTTGAAGACGAAGGAAATAATGAAGTTGGTGAAAATGACTGTGATCAGAGTCGCATATTTTTCGAGTTACTCAGAATAAGTATTTGTCTAAAAGAATAAGCTGAATAAATTCTTCATACCCATCTCTAATATATTTCGTTTATTAAAATAATTTGTACGAATAATTCAG